ATTAGTACTCCAGTATAGTACAAACAATGCGCTGTGAGTGGGTAATGAGAATCAAGTTTCTTGCTGTCAGAGAAAGACAAAAAAGACTAGAATGAACTTTCTTACATTAGATTTCAATTGGAAATATCTTTCTATCTAATCTATGTCTATCTATGCACATGGATAAATAGAAACAGATACTGAAGTATGAGTATTAACATGAAAATCCTGCTTTTTAAATGCCATTCTTAAATAAAAGGAATGAAGGATCCTCATGAGGGGAAATACAAGAGGAACTGAAACATTCAGTGGTGCTAAGAAGTGTGTTCAGTTATGTGGATGTGTCAAAGCAACACCTAATTGATAGTGCTCCCAATAATTAAATATGAAAGTTTGTTGAAAATTTTAACATAATATCCCATAAATTTAAAAAGTAGCACACACAAATCAGTGAATAAATATAACAAGGGGAGTGGGATAGCTCTTTGTTAGAGAATTCTAATTAATGTATATTAAAGAAGTGATGAATATAAGAAATCACTGCTGGCAAAACCACGTTACATGCATGACAGCATCAACAAAGGATGCCAAAATGAGGGGAGAAAGTTTATCAAATAGGAAATGGCCTGGGGATTTAGTTCAGTGGTGCTGTGCCTACCTCACAAGTGCAAGGTCATGAGTTTGATCCCCAGAACTGGGAAAAACAAAAAACCAAATGGGACATTTACATGGTCTCCAAGTATCTATTTTTTTAATAACAAAAGGGAAAATATAGTGACAGCAGTCATGCTAGTAGATACATATTTCAACCAAATGATCAAAATTCCATCATATACAGATGTGAATCCATCATATACATCACGTATTATTTGCACAATGTACTAGGAAGAGCAGGACATCAGTGTGTATCTACATAAATTATGGGAAAGCATCACACAATCCCAAGTCGAGGAATAGTCAAGAAAACAACTGTCCATGAGTCAGGTCCAGGTTACAAGTGGCAGCTGGCCAAGATCTTGTCTCCTGATTTTCACATATTTTTGTAGTTTCCTCACACATTGTTTCAGACACGGTAGGTAGAATTTTAAAGATGTCTGCCCCTCTGTTTTATCCATAGAACATGAGTCTAAGTGGTGTGGTAAAGGGTCCTTACAGACGCAATGAACATTGTCTGAGCTGTTTGATCAATGAAACGCAATACAAGGGACATGGTACTTCTAAAATTAGGTCGTACAGCGTACCATCGCTTGAGATTTTATTGTTCTGTCACTCTCCTCTGTGTCATTCACCTCGGCCATGTCATCAGACCATATGAACAGGCCCACGTCCTGCGGAATGGAGTTCTTTAACCCTTATACAAACATACTGCTAGTTACTTTTCTCTCTTTGCTGAGACAAAGTACCTGATATTCAAATTAAAGAGGAAAAGGTTTGTTCAGCTCATACTCAGTCCATAATTGGATGGCTCCAAGGCAGGGTAGCACATGGCTGCAGAACAACAGTTCCTGGCAGCAGAAGACAGCAAAAGCAAGCAAGCAAGGGAAACTTAACAGTATCTGTCTGCCCCTTGTATCTTGTCCAAACTTCTGAGATTCAGGTAGTGCCAAACCAATCAATGTACTGGTTTAGTAATCACAGGCCCTCAATCCCGGCTTCACACATTCTAGATCCACCCACCTCTGAAAAAGCCACCTATGACTGCATGAGGTTTTGGGGGGACATCTAAACTCAAGCCATTGACACACACGTTTTTGCAGGCAGGTCATCTAATTCTGGTGTTTCTTTAATGTTTCCATAGTCTTTCGGTAAGCATCTGATAGACCTCAGATCTATGCAGACCATGCAGCATGACTGCTCCTGAGCTACAAGAGCTACAGCTCATAGCTATAGAGTTATGAGACAATAAACATTTGTTCTATGCTATCTGAGTTTAAAGTTGTTTGGGACTCAGCAACAGAAAAGAAAACATTGTGAAAGAAAAGGAAAGATGGACGGACTGTTACAGATTGGAAAACTCAAAGGATCACAAGAAACACATTTAATGTGGGATCCTAGCCTGGATCCAGAGTAGGTAAAGTCAATTAGTGACCAATATGATTTACAAGTACTGTGCCAAGCACTTTGATAAACCAAAATGCACTAAATGTATCCCTTCCACATATACATTACTTCTACACATATCAGATGTCTTACAATAAACCATTTGTAACATATGATTACTTATAGAAATCTTCTGCATCAATCTGTTATGTGCAGAAACTATGTGAAAGAAAATTAATACATATTTCACAATGAATGTAGTTTATATTTAATTAAATACATTTGTTGAGATATTCAAAATCATCAATTAAATTACATTCAACTTCAAAAGTATAATTTCCCTTCCCCAACCCTAAGTATGCTTTATTCACAAACTGAGATTAATCAAATTTCAAAATCTGTGTCATTTAATAAAGTCACTTGATCTAAGGAAAACATTCTAAGACATTATAT